TGTTTCTTTCACGATGTATACCCTGCTATATACAAATCAAATAAAGAAATGATGTTTACCTACAAAAAAAAAAAAAAGAAAAAAAATATATAATGATAAATTATATTATATTTGTAAATAAATAGAATTACTTTTGTAAATGAAATATATTTTAAAACTGATATAAATATATCAACAATCTATTATAATCTTAAAAATTAAACTTTAAAAATAATAATTTAAGAAAATCAAGTAAAGATTCTTTTAAAAATTATTTCTTATATATTAAAAACAATTGATTAATATTTATATTATAATTTAAAACTCTTTACAAGAATTTTAGCGATTAAATTATCAAATATTAATATTAAAATATTATATTTAACTATTTTAAGACATTTGATAAAAATAAATTATAAAAATAACTTATTATTGCTTATAAAGAAGCTTATATAACTTGGATAATAAAATATCTTAATAACAATTGAAAAATTTTTTTATTTTTTAATAAAACAATATTTTAACTATTCAAAAACACATTTATTTAATAATACAAAGATACAAAATTAATTAAAAGAATGTTTAAAGATTATATAAAAATTTTTATATAAAAAGAATCTTGTTCAAAAAAAAACCCTTTTTTTTTTTGTTTTAAAGAAATTATAGGTATAAAACTTTATATTAATATTTTGTAAAAATATAAACAAGAAATTAAAAAATTGTTTAAAAACAATTGATATTTTCAACAAGATAATGATTTCAAGTATACTTATAAAATTATTAAAAAATTTTTAAATAAATTTTTTTTTGAAACTATAGATTGGCTTTTTAATAGTCCAGATTTAAATCCTATTAAAAACTTTTGATTTATTGTTAAAAAAAATATAGAAATAAGATTACTTTAAAATTTTTTAAAATTAAAACAAATTATAATAAAAGAATAATTTGAATAGGATTATAATTAATTTTATAGATTTAATAAAAAGAAAATATAAATTAATAATTGAAAATAATAATAAAAGAATTAATTATTAATTATATATCAATAAAATCTCTAAATTTTAAATTTTATTTTAATATATTTTTTATTAATCTTTATGTAATAGTTTTTAAGTAATGAATAAATAAAAAATTTCAAAAAGTTTTATAATATATTGTATATACATAATATAGTTTTTATTATAATGTTTATAAAATTTAATAAAGAAATAAAGTTAATTTAATTGTAAAATCAAAAAAAATAATTATTATTGTAATATATAATATATTATATAACAAAATTTATTATTTATTATTTAAAAACTATTATATAAAAATTAATATAAAATAAATAAACAAATTTTTTATTTTTTTTTTCAATTAATATTTTATATCTATCTTTTGTTGAATTTATAAAATTATTTAAAACCTTATTTGAAAAATTTCAATAGGATTTAAATTTGAATTATTAAAAGATTAATTTATAATTTAGAAAAAATTTTTATTAACAAATTATTCTAATATATTTAAAGAAATTTTTTATATAACTTTTATTTATATCTTAACAAATAGATATTTATGTTTTTATTTATTTTATTAATTAGTTATTGAATTATACATAAAAATATAATTTAAATTTTCCTATTTTTTTTTTTGGACCAGGCTGTAGATTATTATTTCTTATGTTTGAAATTTTTATTGTTATCATCTAGCTATTATTTAATTAACCAATAAATTTATTTAAAGAAATAAGTAATGTATTTAATTTAGAAACAATATAACATAACGCGTTCATTATAAAAAGAAAAATCAATTTTTTTTACATAATCCGAATTTCACTGTTACATAAAAATTTCAAACCATTTGACAAAAACTACCTATTGTTATGTTACCGTTACCTAATTACAGCATTAAAAAAAAAAAAAAAAAAAACTTTCCAACCTTTCTCTAATGAAACGATACAGTTAATTATTCAGAAGTGTGAATCGCTTGATAAAAATATCCTGTTACATTTAATATTCTTTTAAAACTCAATCAGTATTCTTGTTCTTAGGAAATAATGACAGATTAATATTTGTGATACTTGGCACAAATTCCAATTCATTTGCATTCTCCGACCTGCGGACGTTCTAAATCTAGCAGTAAAAAGGCATCGACAGCATACACCTATAATAAATTTAGAACAGGAGATACTATACATAAGAAAGGTATATACATTTGTTCGCATAATTTTCCGATATTCTCCAAGTTACAAGTTATAATTTCTAACACGTATCACGCAAGACGCATCTTAAGTATATTTGGGTCTCGATTCAAGTCGTGTACACGCACTTGTGTACTAGTGCTGTGGATCGGATGATAGTTAATTGGTTCACGGGATCGATGAATACGAAAAACATGTAACTGTTGTCAAATGACGTAGCAAAACTTTTTTACGGAGGTTTGGCAGTTTTACCCACTCTTGGTTAATAAGGCGGATGGGCGAAAATTTTAGTTAATTAATAGCGCCAGCCGCCACCACCACCAATAAACTCTGGCACCGCTCCTAAAACAGTCTATCCAATATAAACAAAAATTACGATGTGAAAAAAAAAAGTTGAATGGGGCACCGTCTGTTTGTTACATGAGAAGAAAAAGAATTATAATTAGTGTCACCTTTTATTTATTCGTGCAAATATCCAACAACCAGGAATCATCGTAGGCACTAACGCCTATTGTTCATTTTAAATATGTCACTCGTTATGCTTTTCATGCATCATTCGCACAATGAATAAATGAATGAGCATGTATCTATAGGGAACAATCAATATGCAAATCCCAAAACTTATATAGTTGACAATTGTAATATAAATTAGATGTTAAGCTGTGGAATCGGAATTCCTTTTTCTTTTGAAAAAAATAAGTGAAAAATAGGTTGTCATAGTATATTGTACTTTTTCTTTACTAAATAACAAACTATTGAGCAAGCAATACGAAGAAAAAAAATATGCAGTCCTCATCTTCTCCACGACCATTCACGCGCCCCTCCTCTTTCCCATCATATCTACCCATTGACATCTTTCGCCTGATACTCGACCATCTTACATATGACAAATTCTCACTACACTCCTGTTTATTGGTAAATCGTCATTGGTGTCGAGTCGTTGTTCGCGTCCTGTGGCAACAACCATTTCGACTATTATACACCTGCAAGCAATCACCATGTAATTGCTGTTCAAATGAGAAACAAGAAAAGAGGCAGTCACAGGCCGGAAACTTATTGGAGACGTGTATGAAAGTAATTATATGTAAACATGAGGATTGGTTGATTGGGAAGAGGGATGATGTAAGCAGTAGCAATAATGGTGAAAACTTGATCTATCAGGATAGGAAGAAATTAATTCTTCAGTATAACATAAATTTGTTGCGAAACAGAAGCAGAAATTTATCACAAGACTTTTCTTCTTTAGTCTCGACTCCTACATTTGATTATTTAGAATTCTTGCAATGCTTAGATTTCTTAGAACTTTGGAATGCAGTTCAGGATTGGATTAAATCTATAAATCGTAGTAAACATTCAAACAATACCTGCATTTCTGTTGTCCTTACGAATCATGCAAATTCCTGCGTCACTTCTTTTTCTAATTATCATGCTGCCGCAAACGCTGAAGATCACAATCACTCCGGGTCAAAAGCGAGTCGTTTACCAACCTCGATTAATTTTGACCACAGGGACACATCTACCACAGTGAATTCCTCAAAACGACGAGTAGATTATATGGCAATCCTACAAACCTTCTATAATCACTCAGATAATCTGAAAGATACCTCAAAAACTATAGCAACATTAAATTCAATGAATTTAATGAATTCTGCGAATTCAACACGTCTCTCAAAATCCGGTTCTTTATCCATAGAACAAATCGCTAATCTGCTTTCCATCTTCTTTTCCATGCACTCTCCACTTCACCATCTCTCCAGCGATCTCACATCTCGCCATTCATCCGCTAACTCGGGATTCCCTTGTTCCATATTATCATCCCGCCTGTCTACCTTCGCAAATCTTTATACTCCCACCTTATCTGACAACCTCATCCATCTAACCTCCCTTGTTTGTACTACAAAGTTATCGAAACACTCTTTATTCACTTACCTATCCCGCTTCGCTCACAACATTCGCCATTTAGAAGTATGCATTGATTACCTAGATCATCATCATTTCAATGAACGCATCCTCGACATTTCCTACGTGGAGGAGGAATCCCTCGCCCTCTCCGCCTTAATAAAATCTCAGAAATCCATTGTTAGTCTCAAACTTTTCAGTTTTCCCGCAGGCTTACAATCAATTACCTCAGCTATACACCAACACGCAAACTCTCTGCGATCGCTGAGTTTCATTGGCGTCTACTTTGACGGGTGGGAGTTATTACCGATACTAGAACCATTGAGAAATTTGGAAACATTGGAGTGTAGGGGATGTTTCTTTCAACTAGTTTTTGGTTTTACTCCGGAATCACACCCACCAGTGCATTTGGAATTTACGCATTTGAAAAAATTGGATATGATGGATTCTTATGTAGAACCACCAATTATGAGGTACCTTTTAAAATCTTGTTCGGCTAAGGTGACGTATCTCGATCTTGGAAGAAAGATACAAGACCCCAAATCTCCGGAAGATAGTAACATCCTCATGAGACTGGTCGAGACCCAATTCCCAAAACTCAAACATTTGATGACTTCATTTCATGAGCACGAGATAAAACAATTACTAGAAGTGTTCGAGTGTTGCACAGAGCTGGAGTCATGCGTATTGTGCCCGCTGGACAGCTATAATTCTGCAGGTATGAATGAGCTGATGCGAAGGATGGGTGAATGTAAATTGAAAAAACTGAGATATTTTGGAATAAGAGGAACGAGCTACGTATACTCCGTAGAAAACTTCAATGCTTTTTTGAAGAGTTTACTCAACACGAGGGAAAATGACGACAAGAATTTTCGAATCCTGGAAATTGATTCGTCAACATGCTTCAGCAATGAGCACCTCGAAACAGTATTGAAACATTTGGGAGGGGAGAAAGAAAATTGTTTGCAAACATTAAAATTGAAATTATATCGAGAGTTGGACAAACAGTTGATAGTCAAGGCAGGCGAAAGAATTAGGAAATTTGAATATGAAATGTGGGATGCTAAAGAGCAGGCTTGGGAAAATATGGTACGACGAGAGCAATGAAATAAAAATAGAAAAAGGGAAATTAAAAATTAAATTTTGGACTTTCGACCATAGAATTGATATAGAATAGATTGTTAATAATTAGAATAGAGCTTTTGAAGTATTTAAATTAACTTTTTTCACATGCATGTATCAATAAGTTAGGTTAGAGCAATTATCGTAGAGTAAGAAATTGATACTAATTTCCTCGTAGACATATCTGAAAATCGGACAAGGAAAAAAAAATAGTTTTACATATAAATTTACATTAAGCATTAGCCAGGATTTAAGGTGAAACCGCCTGTTGTAATTACATGCCGAAAAAAGTTAAATGTAAAATAAAAATAATAAATTTATCGAATGTTATGTAATGCTGATTTTTATTCGTAAATACTTGATTTGAAAGTTCTTCAATAACTTCTGGAAAAATTAATATCGTAATTGTATATATCAATCGATGAAAACTTTTTCGCTTGTAAAATTATAATTATAATACTGTATATAAATTCACTTAAGCTGCATACTGGAATTTATAACTTTAATAAACTTGTTAACCGAATTATATTCATCTACATGCAAAATACTGTATATAGGTTACTTCATTTTTTTATTTTATTTGTATATTAGGATATACTGTACATTGTAAAAGAAAAAATATCACTTATAGGTTGTTGCGATGAGTTAAATGCTAGCTTGCCAATGGTAATTTATATACCTAATATTAAAAAAAAATTTAAAACAATATATTTTGTCAAGTAATATTAAGCAGTTATAATATTTATTCAGAATTGAAAAAAAATCAGACTGGATAACATTGATATTAAATTGTAAATATATTTGAAATAACTATTTTATATTAAATAAATAAATTGGCAATTATAAGTCAATAAGAACTTTTTTTTAGAAGTACTAATTAATATAATTTTAATAAAGAGATTAAAATTGATTCTTGTTTTGAAATATTGGTTAAACTAGATAGTTTATTAAAATTTTATCCAATTTTAATAGATAATAAAATAAAATTATATAGTTTAATTAAAGCTTCAGATATTGTTCTGACTTAATTAATAAAATTTAATATAAAAAAAATATTATTTATTAAAATTAAACAATATGTTATATTGAAAATTTGATTCATAATTATTATTTAAATAAAAAATTTGATTGATAAATTTTATAAATTAATTAATTTCTTTTAAAGCTATTAAATATTTTTAATGTAAAATTTATATCTTAAATAATATATATTTTATAATATTTAATAATTGTTATTCTTCAATTATTTAATTAAATTTTATTAAAATATCAAAAAATAGTTTTTTGATACAATAACAATAATAAAAATTATTATAATAATAAATACTATGAATTATACTTTACTATTTACTGTATATTAATAAAAATTATATTAACAAATAATAAAAAATCAAAAAGATGAAAATCTAAGTAGAACCAATAATTTTTATAAAAATATTATTTTTGTTTGTAGAGATTTTATAGTTTAATTAATTTGGTTTTGGTTTTAATAATCTATGTTATTTGAAATTTTTAAAATAAATAACTTTAAACTTTGTGTTTAAAATTTTAATATAAAAAATTATATAAAATTTAATATATA